CTGTGGAGGACAGTACTCCTGCCGAGTACAGTGCTCCTGCCCAGTGCAGTGCTCCTGTGGAGGACAGTGCTCCTGCCGAGTGCAGTGCTCCTGCGGAGGGCAGTGCTCCTGTGGAAGGCAGTGCTCCTGCCAAGTGCAGTGCTCCTGTGGAGTGCAGTGCTCCTGCTGAGTGTAGTGCTCCTGCCGAGTGCAGTGCTCCTGCCCAGTGCAGTGCTCCTGCCAAGTGCAGTGCTCCTGTGGAGTGCAGTGCTCCTGCTGAGTGTAGTGCTCCTGCAGAGGAGTGCTCCTGTGGAGTGCAGTGCTCCTGCCGAGTGCAGTGCTCCTGCCGAGTGCAGTGCTCCTGCCCAGTGCAGTGCTCCTGTGGAAGGCAGTGCTCCTGCCCAGTGCAGTGCTCCTGTGGAGTGCAGTGCTCCTGCTGAGTGTAGTGCTCCTGCAGAGGAGTGCTCCTGTGTAGTGCAGTGCTCTTGCCCAGTGCAGTGCTCCTGCAGAGGACAGTGCTCCTGCCGAGTACAGTGCTCCTGCCGAGTGCAGTGCTCCTGCCCAGTGCAGTGCTCCTGTGGAAGGCAGTGCTCCTGCAGAGTGCAGTGCTCCTGTGGAGTGCAGTGCTCCTGCTGAGTGTAGTGCTCCTGCAGAGGAGTGCTCCTGTGGAGTGCAGTGCTCTTGCCCAGTGCAGTGCTCCTGCAGAGGGCAGTGCTCCTGCAGAGTGCAGTGCTCCTGTGGAGTGCAGTGCTCCTGCTGAGTGTAGTGCTCCTGCAGAGGAGTGCTCCTGTGGAGTGCAGTGCTCTTGCCCAGTGCAGTGCTCCTGCAGAGGGCAGTGCTCCTGCAGAGTGCAGTGCTCCTGCGGAGGGCTGTGCTTCTGCCAAGTGTGACGCCCCCATGCTGTGCAGACACGGCCACCGCTCTCGAGGGCTCAGCCCTCTCCTCCTGGATCCTGGTGGCATGCGCCACACATCATGAAGGTTTGGGGCAAGGCCGAGGACTGGCTGGGCTTGCTGGGAACAGCACAAGGTGGCCCAGGCAGTCGTAGGCATGTGGGGCACACACTGAGGCCCCCGAGGCCTGAGCCCTGCCTCCCAGTTCAGGTCGTGCTTGGGAGACCAGGCCTGGAACCCTCTCCTGCTTAGCTGCCCTCCTTCCGTCAGGCTGCGCACTCCCCAATCTGAGTCTGGCCCCTTGCCGCTGTGGTCCCTCTCCTGGGCCCATGGCTTTAAAAGCTTCTGTGCTGGCCCAGCTCTCTTTCCCATGGCTCCCTTTGGAATTGGGATCCCCCCTTGAGAGGCCCATGTAGCACGAAAGATTTGAAAGAGAAACAAAATCCCTCATGAGAAAGCCGTTTCATGGATAAAATGAGCATGTTTATTTCAGGGTAACAAGCGTATACACAGCAAAGCAGCGTGGGTAGAGCCAACGTGCTGGCCCGCTCGCCAGCCAGCCCCTGCCCGTCTAGAAGGAAGCATGTGTTGGAGCACACAGCTGGAGGCAGGACGGGAAGAGAAACGCGCGCCAAGGGCCACGAGGGAGGGGACCCCAGGCCTGGAGCAGCGTCCCTTGAGTTCCTCTCTCTGTCTTCGTTCTTCAGTTGGATCATTTTACCTGCGGGCAACAGAGACGGTGTGAAGCACTTTCTCCTGGTTGGGAAGGGAGCCAGGCAAAGGGGACCCAGCGGGTTGGTGGGAGCCTCCGTGATGGACGTCCAGCCCCAGCTGCTCCCTGGGCCCCACGCCCCCCGTGCCGTCTGTGCTACCTTGAACAGGGTGACGGTGGTGCTGTAGAACAGGCTCAGGAGGAAGAGGACGATGAAGGTGGAGGCGGTGGCCCACAGGTTCTCAAAGCCCTCCTCGTCGGCGCTCACCTCCCCCTCTGCAGGGGACACAGCACGGGAGGGGGTAGGGTCAGGCTGGGGTGGCGCCCAGCAAAGCCAGGCCCTGGGGCCCCTCCTCTAAGCCCACCCTTGGCCCCTAGGCTGTGCTGTGCTCAGGGGTGGGGAGAGCCAGTGGAGGGGTTCAGGCACTGTCCAAGGCATGGGTTGGGTCCCCAACAGCCTGATGCAGGGGGGCACAGGCTGAGGCTGGGCAGGGCACGGACCCCGAGGTCTTGTCCCAGGAGCCCTGGGGTGGCTGAGATAGCGCGAGCAGCACACAGACACAAGGCGGGGGCCGGACATCGGGGCCAGTGGAGCGGCGGCCAACATGTCCTGACTCTCCTGCAGGGGAAGCAGGGGGTATGGTCCTGCCCCGTGCTGTGGGGCTACACAGGCAGGAGGCCTGAGCTGGGAGGTGCCCGCTCCTCACCTCCTCACCTCCTCATCAGGGCCCTGGCTCTCCAGCCCCCCAGAGCAGAGTCTGCATCCTGGCTGGCTCGTCCTACCCTGTCAAGACCCAGAGATCTGAGCTCCACAGTGGGATGAGGACATTTGGGGGTGCTGCATTCCCTACACAGACAGGCCCTTGGGGGACACCTGGAGCCCAGGACCCCAAAGGGCCAAGAGTGTGTGGGGGGACTCAGAGGTGACCCCAGTTAGGGACAGCACTGTCTGTCGGGTGTGGAGACCTGACTTGGGTCCCTGCCTTCCCTGCCTGGGCTCTGTCCTCCCTGGGCTGCTGCAGTGGGACCTGGCTTGTTCCCTGCTCTGGGCTGGGGATGGACCCCAAGATCTTGTCCCAGGAACCCTGGGGTGGCTGAGATAGCTCAGGCAGCACACAGACACAAAGCAGGTGTGTGCAGGGCAGCCTTGCGCCAGCTCATCTCCCGAGGCCTCCCGCTAAGAGGAGCAGCCGCTGGGCAGCCACCCTGCCCTCTGGACACATGTCCAGTCACTGCCTGAGCACAGGCATGGGCCCTCGTTCTGCTCTCGAGCATGTGTTGGGGTCATCTGCTGCTTTCCTCAAGAGCCTGGCCTTGGGAGGGTCACACATGTGGGAGCCACCTGCTGCCTTCCTCAAGAGCCTGGCCTCAGGGGGGTCACACATGTGGGAGCCACCTGCTGCTTTCCTCAAGAGCCTGGCCTCAGGGGGGTCACACATGTGGGAGCCACCTGCTGCTTTCCTCAAGACCCTGGCCTAGGGAGGGTCACATTATCCCTGGGGCCGCTGCTCCCCAGGCAGAGTCCAAGCGGGGTGCCATGGTGGCACCTCCAAGCAGAGACAGAAGGAGAAGCAGCGCCTGGGTCCAAAGCCCTCAAGGGGCCAGGACAGTGCAGGGAGCAAAGTGCTTCGGGGACAGAGCATCTGACAGGGCAGCGGGAGAACGTGGGTGGGGCTGGCTGGCATGGGTTTGTGTGTGTGTCTGTGTGTGTGTGTGTGTGTGCATGTCTATGTGCGCATGTCCATCTATCTGTTGTGTGTCTTTGTGTAGACGTGCGGGTGTCTACATTAGCATATGCGCATGTTCCTGCGTGTGTCACTGTGTGTGTGTGTGTGTGTGTGTGCGCGCGTGTGCACGTGTCCATGTACTTGTGTCTGTTTTTGGGTGTGGATGTACCTGTGTGTTTGTGAATGTGTGTGTGCCTGTGCCTGTCTGTGTGTACGCCTCTGTGCTAGTGTGTCTCTGTGTGTGCATGTCCTGCATGTGTGTGTTCATGTGTATGTGTCCATGATGTGTGTGTCCATGTTTGTGTGTGTCTGTGTGTGTCCATGTGTCATGTGTGTTTATGTGTGTCCGTGTTCATGTGTCCATGATGTGTGTCCATGTGTGTATCTGTGTGTCCATGTGTGTTGTGTCCATGTGTGTCCATGTGCCCATGATATGTGTCAGTGTGTGTGTCCGTGTGTCCATGATGTGTGTGTCTATGTGTCTGTGTGTGTGTCCATATGTGTCTGTGTGTGTGTCCATGTGTCTATGTGTCCATGATGTGTGCGTCCATGTGTGCCTATAGACGGTGTGTGCCATCTTCGTGTGCCTGGGTATTTTTGCACATGTGTGTCCATATGTGTTTGCATATGTGTGTGTCCATGTCTGCGTGTGCGCGCCCATGGGTTAGCACATCTCTGTATGTGTGTGTGTGTGTGTGCGCACCCATGAGTTAGCAAGTATGTGTGTCCATGTGTCTGTGTGTCCATATTTCTCTGTGTTATGTGTGTGTGTGCATGCACCCATGGGTTAGCACATCTCTGTGTGCCCATGTCTGTGTGTGTGTGTGTGTGCGCGCACCCATAGGTTAGCACATTTCTGTGTCCATGTCTGTGTGTGTGCACCCATGGGTTAGCACCTCTCTGTCTGTCTGTGTGTGTGTGCGTGAATGTGCACCCATGGGTTAGCAAGTATGTGTGTCCATGTGTCTGTGTGTCCATATTTCTATGTGTGTGTGTGTGTGTGCACATGCGCACCCACAAGTTAGCACGTCTCTGTGTGTCCATGTCTGTGTGTGTCCATGTCTGTGTGTATGTGTGCACCCATGGGTTAGCACGTCTCTGTCCCTGTATCTATGTGTGTCCATGTTTCTGTGTGTGTGTGCCCATGGGTTAGCAAGTCTCTGTGTGTCCCTGTGTGTCTGTGTGTGTGTGTGTGCCCATGGGTTAGCAGGTCTCTGTGTGTCCCTGTGTTTGTGTGTGTCCATGTGTCTGTGTGTGTGTGTGTGCCCATGGGTTAGCACGTCTCTGTGTGTCCCTGTGTTTGTGTGTGTCCATGTCTGTGTGTGTGTGTGTGTGCCCATGGGTTAGCAGGTCTCTGTGTGTCCCTGTGTGTGTGTGTGTCCATGTGTGTGTGCCCATGGGTTAGCATGTCTCTGTGTGTCCGTGTGTCTGTGTGTCCATGTCTGTCCATGTCTGTCCACGTGTGTCCACACATGTGCATGTGTGCTGCCTGTGTCCATGTGGCCTTGCTCTCAGCCCTTTTTCAAGAAACAGTAGGAGGAATGGCGAGTGTGAGGTCAGCCTGTGGTGAGCATCTGCAGGGAGTTCGGGGCTTCCAGAAGCCACTGAGGCACGCGGGTGGGTGAGGCGGGTGGGGGCTGTGGAGGAAGGCGGTCTGCAGGGCAGAGCATCGTGCACTCAGGACCAGTATCTTTTGAATGGATCTTTTTATTTCTAGTTTTAAAGATGCAACATCTCGCCCCATTGACGTGGTTAGTTTGCACACACACAGAGCGGCCGGCCGCCCCGAGCCCGTGGGCAGCCCAGCAGGGTCAGTAGCAGGTGCCAGCCGTGTCGGACATGACTAGGGACACATTGTACAGGGTGGGTTTACCGGTGGACTTGTCCACGGTCCTCTCGGTGACCCTGTTGGGCAGGGCCTCGTGGCCCACGACGCAGGTGTAGCTCTCCCCCGCGCTCCAGTCCTCCTCGGACACTGTCAGGGTGCTGTAGGCGAAGTACAGGCCTGGGGCATGGGGCTCGGGCACTGGGGTGCTGGTCACGTACTTCTCCTGGGGCAGAGGCTGCCCCCTCTGCATCCACTGCACAAAGATGTCCGCGGGAGAGAAGCTGGTCACCAGGCAGGTGACGGTTGCCGACTCCCGCAGGCTCAGTTGCTCCCGGGCCGGTGGCAGCAAATACACTTCGGGCCTGTGCAGGGCCGCCCCTGTGGGCAGAGATGGCAGTGAGTAAGGGCCTGAGGGCTCTTCACCTTTCCCCCGGGCTGAGGGAGGGTGCTGGGGAGTGCAGGACCAGGGGCTGGGCAGGGGCCTACCCTTGGTCCTGGAGATGCTCTGCTTCAGCGGCGAGGGCAGGTCCGTGTGTGTCACGGTGCATATGAACCTTTCCCCGGAGTTCCAGTCATCCTCACAGATGCTGGCCACACCTGTGGCACTGAAGGTGGCATTGGGGTGGCTCTCAGAGATGTTGGTGTGGGTTTTCAGAACTTCGCCATTCTGGCGGGTCCAGGAGATGGTCACGCTATCATAGGTGGCCAGGTCTGTGACCAGGCAGGTCAACTTGGTGGACTTGGTGAGGAAGATGCTGGCAAAGGATGGAGGGATGGCAAAGACCCGGATGCCCGTGGCTGGATCTGGAGTCAAGAGAAACGTGTCAGAGGTGGAGCAGGTGTGGATGTGGGTGGAGGCACGGCTCCCCCCCAGAGACCAGCACCCGCCTCTGCCCAGCCCAGGGGCCCTGTGCCTGAGCCCCTGCCCTTGACTGCTCTGGGAAGCCAAGGTTCAGGGAGCAGAGGGCTGTGTCCGGGGTGGCAAATGTCAGACCCGGCTGGACCCCTGTGTGTCCGTGGGTGCTGCCCTTGGGGACAGGGTACTCACTGGCACCACACGCGGAGGACACGTTCTTCTGGAAGGCCAGGCCATTGTGATCCACGCGGCACGTGAACACGCTCTGCGTGAGCCAGTCTTTCTCGGCGATGGTCAGCGTGCTGGTCACCTTGTAGGTCGTGGGCCCAGACTCTTTGGCCTCAGCCTCTACCTGGCCCGTGGTGAAGCCAGACTCCAGCTTCTTCCCCTCCTGCAGCCAGGACACCTTGATATGCCGGGGGCTGAAGCCCGTGGCCTGGCAGATGAGCTTGGACTTACGGGGGTTGCCGGTGAATGCATCGCGGGGCGGGACGAAGACACTCACGTTTGGGGACAGTTCTGCGAGCACTGCAGTGAGGGACACAGGTCAGCCGGGGCCCACTCCTATCCTTCCCGTGCCCGCCCTGCCTGGGGCTGGGGGAAGCCCGGCCCTCACCTGGAAGAGGCACGTCCTTTTGCCGGTTGCCGTTGGGGTGCTGGACTTTGCACACCACGTGGTCGTCCCTGCCCTGCATGACGTCCCTGGAAGGCAGCAGCACCTGCGAGGTGGCCATGTACTTGTCCCCTCTCAGGAGGGACTGGAAGCCTTGGATGCTGCTGATGTCAGAGTTGTTCTGGTATTTCCAGGAGAAAGTGATGGAGTTGGGCATGAAGTCCCGTGCCAGGCAGCCAACGGACACTCTGCTCGTATCCAACATGGCACTCTCACAGGAGACGAGGGGGTAGAGGACTGGGGCGGACGCAGTCCCTGAGGACCCGCAGGACAAAACAGAAAGGGAGGGGTGAGGCGCGGTCTCCTTGCATCCAGTCTGTCGCGGCGAGCGGCGTTCTGAGTGGCCTCTCCTTACCTGCATCTTACTGTGGCTGCCCCACCAAGGCCGAGCCCACCGGCAGGCCTCCAGAGCCCAGGTGGCCATGGCTGACAGGGTGGTGGGGCCCTGGCGAGGCCTGGGATCCTTGTCCAAAGCTGCTGAGGCTGCACACCTCAGCCTGTGCTGCTGCAGGGCCCAGCGCTGACCACCAGGGCACACCTAGGGTCTTCGGGAGCAGGCCCAGCCGCACCTGCCACCCTTCACCTGGCTGCCCCGCTGCGCTCGAGGCCTGCCTGCCCTTGGCTCCCTGCTGAGAATGGCTGAGGGCTCAGGCTTGGGCGGACCAGGCCTGCTTTCCCCTGAGGCATCAGCAGAGAGGCACTGCACGCTCAGCTCCCAGCACACACGGCTGGAGAGCCCAGGCTGCATTCCTGAATATGAAGCCTGGAGCCACACACCACACAGGCACTGGAGCCACACACCACACAGGCACTGGAGCCACACACCACACAGGCACTGGAGCCACACACCACACAGGCAGCCAACAGAGAGCAGGTGCCCCAGCCCAGCCTCTGCGGCCCCAGCATGGCCACACTCCAGCTACCCTCAAGTCTCCCCATGCAGACAAGGCAGTCCTGGGGGTGGGTGTAGGGAGGGTGGGAGTGATGGGGAATGCAGTGTGGACTCAGCTGAGGCTATCCACCTAAGTCCAACAAGATCATGAAGACTGGCCCAGTGCCACATCCTCCAGTTCATCCCAGCCCAGCCCAGCTCAGAATCAGTTAACCCCAGCCCTGCTGAGCTCAGATAATCTAAGACCATCTCAGCTCAACCCAGCCAAGCCCAGCACAGCTAAGCCTGGTTCAGCACAGCCTAGTTCAGCCCAGAACAGCTCAACCCAGCTCAGCCCAGCTCAATCCCACTCAGCCCTGCCCAGCCCAGGTCAGCTCAACCCAATTAAACCCAGCCCAGCTCAGCTTAGGGATAGGTCAGCCCAGCCCAGCACAGCCCAGCCCAGCTCATCCCAGCTCAGCCCAGCTCATCCCAGGTCAGCCCAGGTCAGCCCAACCCAGCTCAAATCAGCTAAGCCCATGTTAGCCCAGGTCACCCCAGGTCAGCCCAGCTCAGCCCAGCTCAGCCTAACCCAGCTCAGCTCAGCCTGCATCAGCTCAGCCCAGCCTAGCTTAGGTTGGTTCAACCTAGTTCAGTTCCACTTAGCCCAGCCCAGCCCAGCCCAGTACAGTTCAGTTTAGCTCAGTTCAGCTCAGCTCAGCCCAGCCCTGCCCAGCCCAGCCCAGCCTGGCGCAGCTCAGCCTGGCCCAGCGTAACCCAGCCTAGCCCAGCTCAGCACAGCCCAGCCCGGTTCAGCTCACCTCAGAACAGCTCTTCCCAGGTCAGCTCAGCCCAACTCAGCCCAGCCCAGCTCAGCTCAGCTTAGCCCAGCTCATCCCAGCCCAGCTCAGCCTGGCTCAGCTCAACTCAACTCAGCTCAGCTCAGCTCAGCACAGACTGTCTCAGCTCAACCCAGTCCAGCTCATCTCAGCTCAGCTCAACTTCCCAGCCCAGCTCAGCCCAGCCCAGCTCAGCTCAGCTCAGTCCAGCTTAGTTCAGCTCTGCCCAGCCCAGTCCAGCTCATCCCAGCTCAGCTCAACTTCCCAGCCCAGCTCAGCCCAGCCCAGCTCAGCTCAGCTCAGTCCAGCTTAGTTCAGCTCTGCTCAGCCCAGCCCAGCTCAGCCTGGCTCAGCTCAACCCAACCCAGCTCAGCTCAACCCAACCCAGCTCAGCTCAACCCAACCCGGCTCAGCTCAACCCAACCCGGCTCAGCTCAACCCAACCCGGCTCAGCTCAACCCAACCCGGCTCAGCTCAACTCAACCCAGGTCGGCTCAGCTCAACCCAACCCGGCTCAACCTAGGTCAGCCCAGCTTAGACCAGCTTATCCCAGCTTAGCCCATCTCAGCCCAGCTCAGCCCAGCCCAGCTCAGCTCAGCTCAGCCCAGCCCAGCCCAGCCCAGCCCAACTCAGCTCAGCTCAGCTCAGCTCAGCTCTACCCAGCTCTACCCAGCCCAGCTCAGCTCAACTCAACCCAGGTCGGCTCAGCCCAGCCCAGCTCAGCTCAACTCAGCTCAGCACAGCTCAGCCCGGCTCAGCTCAACCCAACCTGGCTCAACCTAGCTCAGTCCAGCTTAGCCCATCTCAACCCAGCTCAGCCCAGCCCAGCTCAGCTCAGCTCAGCTCAGCCCAGCTCAGCTCAGCCCAGCTCAGCCCAGCTCATCCCAGCTCAGCTCAATCCAGTTCAGCTCATCCCAGCTCAGCGTAGCCCAGCCCAGCCCAGCTCAGCCCAGCTCAGCTCAGCCCAGCCCAGCTTAGCTCAGCCCAGCCCAGCTTAGCTCAGCCCAGATCAGTCTGGCTTTGCTCAACTCAGCCCAGCCCAGCTCAGCTCAGCTCATCCCAGCTTGGCCCAGCTCAGCTCATCCCAGCTCAGTGAAGCTCAGCTCAGCCTGGCTCAGCTCAACCCAGCCCAGCTCAGCTCAATCCAGTTCAGCTCATCTCAGCTCAGCGTAGCCCAGCCCAGCCCAGCTCAGCCAATCTCAGCTCAGCCCAGCCCAGCTTAGCTCAGCCCAGATCAGTCTGGCTTTGCTCAACTCAGCCCAGCCCAGCTCAGCTCAGCTCATCCCAGCTCGGCCCAGCTCAGCTCATCCCAGCTCAGCTCATCCCAGCTCAGCCCAGTCCAGCCCAGCTCAGTGAAGCTCATCTCAGCCTGGATCAGCTCAACCCAACCTAGCCCAGCTCAACCCAGCCCATCCCAGCTCAGCTCAGCCCAGCCCAGCTCAGCTCAACTCATCCCAGCTCAGCTCAGCATAGCCCAGCTCAGCCCGACTCAGCTTAACCTAACCCAGCCCATCCTAGGTCAGCTCAGCCCAGCTCAGCTCAGCTCAGCTCAACCCAACCCAGCCCAGCTCAAACCAGCTCAGCCCAACGCAGCCCAGCCCAGCTCAACCCAACCCAGCCCAGCTCAACCCAGCCCAGCTCAACCCAACCCAGCCCAGCTCAACCCAGCCCATTCCAGGTCAGCCCAGCCCAGCTCAACCCAGCCCATTCCAGGTCAGCTCAGCCCAGCTCAGCTCAGCTCATCCCAGCTCAGCCCAGCCCAGCTCAGCCCAGCTCAGCTCAATCCAGTTCAGCTCATCTCAACTCAGTGTAGCCCAGCCCAGCCCAGGTCAGCTCAGCCCAGCTCAGCTCAGCCCAGTTTAGCTCAGCCCAGATCAGTCTGCCTCCGCTCAACCCAACCCAGCCCAGCTCAGCTCAGCTCAGCCAAGCTTAGCCCAGCCCAGCTCAGCCAGCTCAGCTCAGCTCAGCCCAGCCCAGCCCAGCTCAGCTCAGCTCATCCCAGCTCGGCCCAGCTCAGCTCATCCCAGCTCATCCCAGCCCAGCCCAGCTCAGTGGAGCTCAGCTCAGCCTGGCTCAGCTCAACCCAACCCAGCCCAGCTCAACCCAGCCCATCCCAGCTCAGCTCAGCCCAGCTCAGCCCAGCCCAGCCCAGCCCAGCTCAGCTCAGTTCATCCCAGCTCAGCCCAGCTCAGCTCATCCCAGATCATCCCAGCCCAGCCCAGCTCAGTGTAGCTCAGCTCAGCCCGGCTCAGCTCAACCCAACCCAGCCCAGCTCAACCCAGCCCATCCCAGCTCAGCTCAGCCCAGCCCAGCTCAGCTCAACTCATCCCAGCTCAGCTCAGCATAGCCCAGCTCAGCCCGGCTCAGCTTAACCTAACCCAGCCCATCCTAGGTCAGCTCAGCCAAGCTCAGCTCAGCTCATCCCAGCTCAGCCCAGCTCAGCCCAGCTCAGCTCAGCCCAGCTCAGCTCAGCTCATCTCAGCTCATCCTGGCTCAGCTCAATCCAACCCAGCCCAGGTCAGCTCAGCCCAGCTCAACCCAACCCAGCCCAGCTCAACCCAGCCCATCCCAGGTCAGTTCAGCCCAGCTCAGCTCAGCCCAGCTCAGCCTGGCTCAGCTCAACCCAACCCAGCCCAGCTCAGCTCACCTCAGCTCAGCTCAGCTCAACCCAGCTCATCCCAGCTCAGCCTGGCTCAGCTCAGCTCATCCCAGCTCAGCCCAGCTCACCTCAGCTCAACCCAGCTCATCCCAGCTCAGCCCAGCTCAGCTCAGCTCATCTCAGCTCATCCTGGCTCAGCTCAACCCAACCCAGCCCAGCCCAGCTCAACCCAGCCCATCCCAGGTCAGCTCAGCCCAGCTCAGCCCAGCTCAGCCCAGCTCAGCCCAGCTCAGCTAAGCACAGCCCAGCACAGCCCAACCCAACCTAGCTCAGCTCAGCACAGCTCAGCACAGCTCAGCTCAACCCAACCCAGCTCAGCTCAGCTCGGCTCAGCCCAACCCAGCCCGGCTCAGCTCCGCCTGGCTCGGCCCGGCACAGCTCAGCTCGGCTCGGCTCAGCTCAGCTCAGCTCAGCTCGGCTCGGCTCAGTTCAGCTCAGCCCGGCTCATCCTGGTTCAGCTCAGCTCAACCCGGCTCAGCCCAGGTCTTCTCAACTCAGTCCAGCTCAGCTCAGCCCAGCCCACCCCAACTTGTCCCAGCTCAGCCCAGCACACCCCACTTAAGCCCAGTTCAGCTCAGGTCAGCTCAACAACTCAGCCTGATCCAGCTGGGCTCAGCCTAGCTCTGCTTAGCTCAGCCCAGCTCAGCCCAGCCCAGCTCAGCACAGCCCAGCCTTGTTTAGTCTAGGTTAGCTCATGTCAGTTTTACCCATCCTAGTCCACTTCTGAAAGCTGATGGAATTGTCAGAAACGGTCAGCCTGCCAGACCTGCATGCCTCAGCTAAAGCCATCTCATTGCTGAGTTCCTGCAGAGCTGGGCTGGCTTCCACCTTTCGTCCTCCTCTACTCGATCCCCCGATTTCCTGCCCCAGCCCCAGCACCACCTGGGTTTTGCTTCCAAAGCAGTACCAAGCATGACCACCCTCCACTACCTGGGTGGAATACTTCTTTGCTTCTTTAAAGTCATTTAAACATTTTGCGAATTAGATCAGAACTTAGGAGCTTGTTCTGTGATAAAAACAAGCAGCTCCCCTTGCTCTGGAGGTGGCAGTTCAGCCTCTGCACCGAGAGGACAGCGCTGGCGATGTTCAGAGCCTCCACCTTTCTGGAGCGCCTCCTCCCTCCTGAGTCTGAAATAAGCCCCTGCCTTTACATTCCCTCTAGGTAACAGTCATCATTGGGGACAACCCGGAAATGCATTTTATCTGAATTCACCACTTAAAATTCTGCCGTTTACCATAAGTCGCTTTGGAAGGCATGAGCTACTTTCAAGGGCGCGATGATGACCTACAGTCTGTGACTTAAACAAGGGCGATGCCAGTGATGCTTGGCATATTCTCCAGCACCATGAACCAGGCCGGCCCCATCCATGGGCTGCAAAGCAGCTCATGGGACCTCTCCTCAAAATGGGCTTCAGAGAAAGTTAAGTGGGAGTGACCCAGACAATGCTCACTCAGAAGACTCACACAAACGAGTCCCCTGCTCTTCATCAAGCACTTAAGACCGATCCAGCCTCTTGTGGAAATAAGACATCAAGTACAAAGTTTGCAGAGAAGCAGGTGTGGCAGCGCTGGCTGCCTGTCTCTTACCGTGTCGGGTGTCCGGTCACTTCGAGCCGTGCGAGGCTTTGGCATGGCATAATTCCTCCGAGTCCATTAACAAGGGCTGGGGCCCAAGCAGCCAGTCGGGCTGGTGGCATAAGCCATGCATCCCGGCTCTGGGAGGTCCGTGGAGACCCAAAGCCCAGCCCGGGCCTGGCGGCCACCCTCCCAAAGCCTCGCCAGGCCAGTCCTGCTGAGGCCGAACCAGGGATTCCAAACAGAACCTGTCCTTCTGTCTGACTGAGTTTCCTCTTAATACACCAACTAACATGTTCAACTGAAATAATTCAGGATAATGATGCATGTGTCACCTAAAACTTATCCTAAAATGAGTAGCTGAAAAGTGGTCTTAAAAAATAGTAAAATGAAAGCCACTCTGTCAGAATATCAAAGTGTTTCTCCTTAATCACAGAGAATACAGGTTAACCGAAAAAAAAAAATTGTGAGCACAGTCATTATAAAAATAATGCTCCGAGGTATTGAAAAAGTGTCTGAGATTAATTATCTCATGAAGGGAAAACAACCTGATTTAGAACTTTTCTGAATATAGTCATAAGTTCTTCCTAAGACCGTTACATTTATGAAACATCTTACGTTGAAAATGGGTGCAGGTTAGAAGTTGCTGTTTGCACAAACTCGAGTTGACAAGCTAAGACTGGAAATCAAGTTCGGATAGTGAAAAACAGAGCCTTTCCAGTTTCCGTCAGCCTCACCTTATTTTAGAAACGCAAATGGCCCAGGTGTTGTTTTGCTCCGTGGAGCACTTTCAGATCTGGGCCTGGCAAAACCACCGCTTCACGCCCAGAAGTGACAGATTTACCAAGGGTGTTTTTTCGCTTCCTAAAATAGAGTCTTGCAGTGACCTGCTTCCTGCCACCTGCTGCGGGTACCCGAGACCCTCATGCAGCCATCTTGACTCTAACTCAGCATCCGCTCCCAGCTTCACTAATTAGTTAAAAAAATAAACTTGATTTATGATTGTCAGAACTCAGTCCTGCAGGGGCTGGCAGCACTGTGCTAGTATTTCTTAGCTGAACTTGCTCTGGCCTCAGTTAATCGAATGATAAGAATTTCAAATACTTTCACAGTTAAAAAAATTCACATACTTGAAAAGCTCTCCCATTTTTAAGTCAGAATTTTCTGAAACCATTTTTCTCAGGAGCCATTTCGAACATATCCTGTCTTTTAACATTTAGTAAGCTCGCCTCTTAAGATGAAGAATCCTTTTCTCTTGGAAGCTCAGGCGGCCTCCCCAAGTCCTTGTCAGATCAGCGGCCGCCCTTTCTGGGTTACCCCCACCCCGGCCCCTGCTCTCATCAAGACCACGGCTACGCATCCCTCCTGGCTGGATTCACCCACTCTGACAGTTCTCTTTCCAGCCAATAAATAATTTAAGATGCAGCTTTAATTCTTTACAGCCTGGAGATGAAAGAATTTATCTCTTTATCTCTCACACAGCGCACCTCGTCATTCTAAAGAAAACATTTCACTATTGGGCTGTCTGTGCCACGGTCTTGCCGTCCTCCCGACACTGCTCCCTCCTGAGACACACTCCTCAGCCATCACTAAGATCCCAGCACCTCGGCAGGCAGCCCCCACAGTGGCCCTCCAGCCATGGAGCCCTGGTTTGCTCTGGTTTCTCATCCAGACGTGGCTCCCCAAGACCCCAGGCTCAGTTACTCCATCAGACGCACTCAACCTGAGACCCATTTTCCAAAAGGCATCAGAAAATCCACAGAGGCTCCGAGACCCCCCAGGCTCCTCAGTGCCTGTCCCCTCCTGGCCAGCCCACCCAGGTCCCCTCGGAACTTGTCCCGAGGACCAGCCTGCAATGCTCAGAAAACCCCACAGGCACTAGCAGAAAACAGAGACCCTAGAGTGGCCATTCTTACCTGAGGAGACGGTGACCTTGGTCCCTTGGCCCCAGAGATCCAAACCATAGTAATCACAATGGCAGAATGTGCATCCTCACCCCACAAAAACCCTGGGGTCCCGGCTCACATTGCTCGCAGCCACCCAGAGACCCTCTGTCTCCAGGTATCACATGGAAGCCGACTGTCCATGCCCCTGTCCTGGCCCTTCTCATGGAACCCTCTGCTGGCCTCCCACAGACCCCACATTCCAGCCTGACCCTTCGGAAGCCAGACCACTGCCGGCCTGGGAAGTCTGAGTGCAAGCGGACGGCTCCTAAGTCCTTCCAGGAGTCCAAACACCTCCGGGCACCCGTCCCGGGGAGCAGGTGCCTTGGAACAGGACAGACCCCTGTCCCACAACCAACATGACAGCCCCTGGCAATGCTCCAGATGAAGCCGAGAGTGGCCACCCCCCACCAGACAAAGGGGCACCCCAGCCCCTGACGTCTGTGGCCAAGGCTGGGGAGGGGAGGCTGGGTTCCCATTGGAAGGATCCCTCTCCCCGGCTTTCCTTCCTGACCTCCAAAATGTCTCCGAGACTATGACCCTGAGTCTCCCTAAGTGTACTCAGAGTTGGAGGGTGGTGAGGACTCACCTGAGGTGGCAGTGACCAGGGTCCCTGGCCCGAGGAGGCTGACCAGCTGTCACATTGTGACAACAATGCCGGGACCCCGCAAGAACCGATCCCCGACTAAGTATCCGGGACCCTCTCAGACAGAGCCCGGGAAGGGCCCGGGGTGGCCCTGACTACAGGAGACCCCATTGCTGGGCCCAGGAGGAGGAAGCATCTGGAGCCCTTGCCCTTTGTTGAGTGGCTGCCGTGGCCTGGGGCGTTCTCCTGAGCCCCCCAAGGCTGCTCCCAGGCTTTCTTGGCATGAGACCGAGGCACACTCATTTTCCCCCAAAATACAGCACAATCCCAGAGGAGAGTTAAAGCAGGGGAGAGGTTGTGAGGACTCACCTGAGGAGACGGTGACCAGGGTCCCCTGGCCCCAGTAGTCAAAGTAATCACATTGTGAGAGGCCCCATTAAGAGGTGTACAAAAACCCGACTCTCCACCTGTCCTGGGCTGGGCGGCCAGCCCTGTGTCCCAAGGTCACCCTGTCCCACCCTTCACCCCAGGAGCAGAGTCCTGACCCCCGAAGAAAGGTCATCTGCTGAACATGGCTCAGGCAGCCCCAGAAGGAGCCCCGGAGAGCCCCACATGGCCCTGCACAGACCCAGGAGCCCCTGGACATCAATCTCTCAGCTCCAGGACAGAGGACGCTGTGCCCAGAGTGAGGAGGCAGAAGGAAAGTCGTCTTACCTGAAGAGACGGTGACCATGGTCCCTTGGCCCCATACATCAAAAGCATCACACAGGGACACAGTCCCTGTTCCTACCCAGACACAAACCCATGCCTGACGCTCAAATGGGTTACGTGCAAGCACAGAGCAGAGGTGGCCGGCGCGCCTGTCCCCAGCCACACAGACCCCGGCTGAGACGGAGGGGAAGTCACACAGGGAGACGGTGGCTGGGGTGCCCTGGCCCCAGCTCTCCAAGCACTGGGAGCCGCACTGAAGCGTCAGCCAGGTCCGGGCGTATGGACAGCCAGCTCCCAGCCTCAGCCCCAGCTCTGCCAACAGCTTCTCCTTCCTGGCCAGCCCTGTCCCTGCCCTCGACCTGCTTGCCACCTGTGGTGGGTCCCTGCCTGTCTTTGGGGGCTCCAGCTGGCCCCAGGGCTAAGTGACAGCAGGGCTCTGGTGTGCAGCCTGTGGCGGAGACCCCAGGGATGGCACCTTTGTGGCCTCAGGCCAGACCTGGACTGGTCACAGATCCCAGGGACCTGGCCTGGTGCTTGGATAGAGAAGATGGGGACTCACCTGAGGAGACAGTGATCTGGGTGCCAGAGCCCCAGACATCGAAGTACCAGTAGCACAGCGTCTGCCCTCCTGCTTCTCCTACACAAAAACATGCCCTCCCCCCTCCTGCTGACCCCCTCGCCGAGTGCCTGTCCCCAGGTCCGAGGCCAAAGCCCTCACCTGGCCCAGTGCACGTGGGTCCCCACCGTCCCCAGACAGCAGAGTCTCCCGAGGAGACGGTGACCTTGGTGCCGGGGCCCCAGGAGTCCAAGTAATCTGGCATGGTGGACCCACCCGGAGCCCCGGGCTGCAGAAACCCACTGAGGGGTCCCTGGGGACATGGTTCTTGTAGAGCTGCCAATCACTGTGCCCCCAGTTAGCACAGTGGTTCCCAGCTCAGCTGAAACCCCGCAGCTGGTAGGGGCCCTGTGGGGCCGGGGGGCGGGCCTGGCTGTGGCCCCCAGGTCGGGTCGGGTCCAGGGGCCCCCAGCACCTTCCCCAGTGTTCTCCCCACCACTGTCAGCCCCAGAACAAGCGGCGACCCCCCACCAGCCCTCTCTCGTGCCAATCATCTGCTGTTGCTGAGCGTCGTTAGAGTGCTGGGTGCCACGTGTGCTTCCCCTTTCCTTTCAGAAAGCAGCTCAGGTCTGAGGCCAGGTCTGCCAAGCCGCCTCCCAGCCGTCTGCTTTCTGAGTTGCTTTTTCAGCTGCAGAGGCCCGGGGGGCGGTGGCTGGGGGAGCCCCCTCGCCTGGAGGCCGGCAGGGCAGGCAGCCTTTCCTGCTGTGATCTCGTCTGCAGGAACCGGTGGGGCTGCCCGGTTGCTTCTGCCTGTCACCCTCATACCACTGAACAGGAGTCCTCGGCGGGTGGCACTGGGCTTCATTCACTATGGCACTGGGGCACCGGCTCCCCGGGTGTCCACGAGTGCTGGGTCCCTTCCCTGCACCTCAGCTGTCCTCAGTGAGGTCTCAGCTGTTCCCTCAGGGAAGGGGCAAAGTGGTCTACGGAGAGACCCTCCCCAGGCCTGCACTGGTGCCCCCCGCCGAGCCTGGGTGAGGGGCTTTGCGTGCACCCCCAGCCAGACGTGGGCTGGGCAGAGCCCTCAGGGAGGCCAAGGCCCGCAGCCAGCTGTGAGCGTGGGCCTCTGCTTGGGGTAAACTGAGGGGTAGTGGGTGTCTGGGGGGAGGTGCCCCTGCAGGCTCGCTGGGGAGAGTCTACGTCAGGGCATAGTTCCAGGCAGAGGAACAGCCAAGGCAAAGGCCTGGAGGCTGTGGCCTGAGGCTGGAGGACACCGGTGGTTTGCTGGGGCTGGGTTTAAAGGGGCCTGAGAGCCTTGAAGGGGCTTTCTTAGGTGCTGCTCAAGAAGGGTCCCTCAGGCACCGTGGTGGCTGGGACGATGGGTCTGGGAGGGAAGCCTGGATGTGGGGAGAGGGTTGGGGCTCCCATAGGGGTGTGGACAGGATGGGGGTGGTTTGTGGGATTTCCTGCAGGGGTCCAGGCAGGATGGCGGACTCTGAGGTGCTGTCTGGGGCAGTGGGTCTCTCTAGACACAGCTGGACAGTTGCCAGCCTGGGGACGACATCCTGGGCTGGGAATGGCAAGAGAACCCACCTCCAGCCATGAGGCGCTGAGAACCCATCTGTTTAGGAACCTGATGGCCCTGGAGGCACCTGTGAGGGGCGAGGTGGGGAGTGAGGAGGAGGGCCTGGTGCTGGGGAGTGGCTCTGTGCCCTGGGGACCGCTGCCCTAGGGGTGCTGGCAGGGTCAAGGGAGCAGGCTGAGGGTGGGCTGTGCCTTCTGCCCCCAGGCTTGGGCCTCTGGATCCCTGGGCTGGGGAGGGGGAGCCCGGCCTTCCCTCTCCCGCTGCACTGGTGTCCTGCTCTCTGGGGAAGCAGAGGAGTCCTGAGCCGCCCTTTGAGACTCAGTGTGTGGGGGGGTCACAGTGTGTGGTGGGACTTCTTGAGCCCCCAGATCCTTTCCCAGGCTCGGGGTTGAGGGGTGGGGCTTCCAGGCCCCTCCAGAAGCACTGGCTCCTGCCCTCTGGGCCTCCTGTCCTGATGGGCAGGGAGGAGCCCACCATGCCTTGACCATGCCCAGCCCCAGCCCTGGCCCCGGCCCCAGCCCCAGCCCCGGCCCCGGCCCTAGCCCCTCCTGCTTTTCCACACACTTCAGAGGCCAGTAGCTCCAGCAGGCCCACAAGGCCTATGAGGCCCCGGCACGTGGCCCCTTGTGCAGAGCTGTGGAGGGACCAGAGACCCCCGTGCCCGTGGCTTTGCTGGTACCTGGGCCTAGCTCCTTCCACAGCATCCTACAGTTGGGTCCTGGAGCACAGCCTCTGCCCCCACCCACCACAAGCACACACCAGAGAAAGCACATAAGTGACACAGGCGTGGCGGCCGGATCAGGCAATGGGTGGCCAGGGCGGGGCCCACAGGCCAGGCCGAGTTGGTCCCCCAGTGTCTCTCCACAGCTGGTGTCTCCTGGGGGCTCTGTCTCCCCTCAGAACACTTAGCCTGGATGACACCTCCTGGCTTGGCTGCCCTGAGCAAGGCTGGGAGCTGAGCTGAGAGCTGCAGCCCAAGGGCAGTGGAGAGGGCGCTCTGCTCACTTGGCACACACGCTGTTTACGACATGGCCTTTAGATCCCAACGAAGACGGTCCTCGAGTTGGAGCAGCTCTCTGGCTGGACAGGGCCTTGGACTTCCAAGCCAGAGGGAAAGGCCTGGGGTCAGCAACAAGGGAGGGTGTGGGCCCAGAAGCAGGGGGCCAACACCTACTCCACGCCTTCCAGGAGAACAGGCACCAGACTGGGACTCCACGCCTTCCAGGAGGACAAGGCACCAGAGTGGGACTCCACGCCTTCCAAGAGGACAAGGCACCAGAGTGGGACTCCACGCCTTCCAGGAGGACAAGGCACCACAGCGGAACTCCACGCCTTCCAGGAGGACAGGGCACCAGAGTGGGACTCCACGCCTTCCAGGAGGACAAGGCACCACAGCGGAGCTCCACGCCTTCCAGGAGGACAGGGCACCACAGCGGAACTCCACGCCTTCCAGGAGGACAGGGCACCAGAGTGGGACTCCACGCCTTCCAGGAGGACAGGGCACCACAGCGGAGCTCCACGCCTTCCAGGAGGACAGGGCACCAGAGTGGGACTCCACGCCTTCCAGGAGGACAGGGCACCAGAGTGGGACTCCACGCCTTCCAGGAGGACAGGGCACCAGAGTGGGACTCCACGCCTTCCAGGAGGACAGGGCACCACAGCGGAGCTCCACGCCTTCCAGGAGGACAGGGCACCAGAGTGGGACTCCACGCCTTCCAGGAGGACAGGGCACCAGAGTGGGACTCCACGCCTTCCAGGAGGACAGGGCACCAGAGTGGGACTCCACGCCTTCCAGGAGGACAGGGCACCAGAGTGGGACTCCACGCCTTCCAGGAGGACAGGGCACCAGAGTGGGACTCCACGCCTTCCAGGAGGACAGGGCACCAGAGTGGGACTCCACGCCTTCCAGGAGGACAGGGCACCAGAGTGGGACTCCACGCCTTCCAGGAGGACAGGGCACCACAGCGGAGCTCCACGCCTTCCAGGAGGACAGGGCACCAGAGTGGGACTCCACGCCTTCCAGGAGGACAGGGCACCAGAGTGGGACTCCACGCCTTCCAGGAGGACAGGGCACCAGAGTGGGACTCCACGCCTTCCAGGAGGACAGGGCACCAGAGTGGGACTCCACGCCTTCCAGGAGGACAGGGCACCAGAGTGGGACTCCACGCCTTCCAGGAGGACAGGGCACCAGAGTGGGACTCCACGCCTTCCAGGAGGACAGGGCACCAGAGTGGGACTCCACGCCTTCCAGGAGGACAGGGCACCAGAGTGGGACTCCACGCCTTCCAGGAGGACAGGGCACCGCAGCGGAGCTCCACGCCTTCCAGGAGGACAGGGCACCAGAGTGGGACTCCACGCCTTCCAGGAGGACAGGGCACCAGAGTGGGACTCCACGCCTTCCAGGAGGACAGGGCACCAGAGTGGGACTCCACGCCTTCCAGGAGGACAGGGCACCAGAGTGGGACTCCACGCCTTCCAGGAGGACAGGGCACCACAGCGGAGCTCCACGCCTTCCAGGAGGACACTGCAGCTTGGTGAGCTAACGGAGCTCCAGGGTGGCGAGGGGCTGGCTCTTGGCTGGTTGGTGGTGGTCCAGATGACTGGAATACAGGGGCACCACTGTGAGGAATGACGCTGGGGAGAGTGCGCTGTATCCCTTATACCTGAGGGATGAGGGAATATCCGTTATTCTCCAGAGAGCAGATGGTCTCTGCTGTTGGAGACGTGGTTTCCACGCTTCCACTGCTGCTCCTGCCGACCTGGGAGGAAGGCCCTTGTGGGCAAGGACAGCGGAAAAAGTCTTGCTGCTTCATTTCCCAGGTCAGGAGCATCGCAGGAGCACGCCCCCGCTGCAGCTGATGAATCGACGTCGTGACAAGTCACCAAAGGGAATGAAAAGATTTAAGTGAAAAGAAACACTTTCCCTACTAACGCTCAGTTCCTTCCCTAAGAGGACTGGGAGAGTGAGCGAAGATCTGAGGAGGGTCATCTTCCCTGGCAGGGAGCTTGACATTTTGTCCCGGAGGAAACGGTGGAATTTGCCCAGGGTGACTTTTGCTCAAGGTTTTTCAGCTTTTCTCATGTTACGTGTAATAGTATTCATGTGCTGTATAGAGCTGGGTTTTTTCTGGGTTCCAGCTTGGAAGTGTCTTCCTTCCTTTTCATAGGCAAGCGGAGACCATGAACATGTGTTGTTTTCATAGATGTATTTGGCTTCAATCCTATCTTAGTAGTTTATGTCTTTTAAATTTTTTTTTTTTTGAGACGGAGTTTCGCTGTTGTTACCCAGGCTGGAGTGCAATGGCGCGATCTCCGCTCACCGCAACCTCCGCCTCCTGGGTTCAGGCAATTCTCCCGCCTCAGCCTCCCGAGTAGCTGGGATTACAGGCGCGCACCACCATGCCCAGCTAATTTTTTGTATTTTTAGTAGAGACGGGGTTTCACCATGTTGACGAGGATGGTGTCTTCTACTTTTATACTTCCAAGAAAGTTTTCCATCTGAAGTTTTCTTGTTTTGGTTCTCTTCTGTGTGTAGTGGCTAAGTTCATGACTTTCCAAAATATTCTTGGTTCTTCTTTGGTGAATATACTTCAGTTCTTTACTATATATGGGATGAAATCACCTGGTTTCCTCTGCCTTTGCCGTCCATCTCTAGCATCGTACGATTGTAGTCAGTCATATTATTTTCCTGGAAT